ACTGATATATGTTACGCATGATCCAACAGCCTCCATATAAATAGAAGAAAAAAAAATCGGTGAGCTTTTCTCCGCATACGCTCAATGGCCGGTGAGCTTTTCTCCACATCTGCACACGCACAAGGAAAACAAAAGAAAAACAGAACAGAACTTGCGCACCAAGCACGCGCCTGATATTATATGACATAGACAGCTGATAAACAGGGAGAGCTCTCTAATACCCCCAACACCCGCCTACTTTTGTTTGTTCCCTTTATTCAGAAGCTGAGACGCGAGCTTCGTCTCACCGAGTGCTCGCACATTTTTTTTTGTCTTTTGTTTCGCTATAGACAAAACAGAAGTCAACGAAAAAAGAAAAAAAAAAAGAAAGAAACGCAAATTTTTCCAAAGCTCGACGTTGTACAGCAGTTCGTTTTGATGCGAATGGCTCAAGGTATCTACCACAAGGACACCTTTTAATTCCAGGTCTTTTATTTTTCTTTCCTTGGCGCGTAACTTCCTCGGTCAAAGTACCATAAAACGACAGAAATGACGTCCTACCAGAGCTAATGCGCACAGTGGACTTTTTGCAAGGCATTCGCGGTTTCCCCGTTTTGAACGTCGTGCACCGGTACAATTATTTCACTGTCGACCCAAAGATGGCAGTCGTGATAGGCCAATTCAGAAACCCAGACACAAGGTCTCTCGCACGCGTGTCTTACAAAGGTGCACCGGGAAGGAGCCAATTTTCCTCGCACTCTACCCGACCCCTGAGCGAACAGCTTCCATGACAAGACTCCGACTTTATCCAGACAATTCTAGTAACATTCTTTCGTTTTCCTATCCTGGCAGGCACGCTGACGATTGCTTTACCTATAATAAGGCCGCTGCCGAGAGACCACCTTTTTTATTTCTATCGCTTTAACGCTCTTTCTAGCTGCTATTGTTCGTTCTACATTAAAAGAAGAAATATTAAAATGAAAAGCGGAGCGGCTTTTTATGTAGCCGTCCTGTTCTTTGGGGGCTATTCAGAGCCTCGCCGGTGATCCAGGAGTCTAGAAATATCTGCCTCAATGTGAGTAAGAAACCACTTGTTTTCGTTTCTTCCAGCCTATGGAGCACACGGTGCATTTCTTATCGCCTGTTTCGTCTTTCCTCGATTGTTAAGCTCTTGTTGGACCCCTTACACCTTAAAACTACAAAATAACCCCCCCCCCCCCCCCCCCTTTTTTTTCCGGCCTAAAAAATAAATAAAAAGCTGCTAATGCGGTTTAAACTTTGATTACAGCACGGCACTGTGCCTGCATGAACGCGTCCTTTTTACGCGAAAGCAGAGAATTAACTCACCGTCTTTCGGTGCTTCTAAAGTGCTGTGTGCTTGGAACAAGGCTCCCATTTTTAAAGGTCACCAATTCCTAAAGGCCCCGATATGCTCCTCACAGGTACGAGACTGTCGTCCAATCTGTAGATGTCTACGTTACTGAGACCAAATACTTATTTGGCGAGGCCTCGAACGTCATTTTCAATCCCCACACTCTTTCTAATGGACAATTTTTGCCACATCTTTCTTATTCACCGCTATATGTTTTAGAGCGCAGCTCTTAGGCGCCCGATTCCGGCTTGAGCGGGGTCGCCATCGGCGTAACCGCGCGTTGCATTATGGGACGTTTCCCATAATGACGTCGCACGTGACGTCACGAGGGTCACGATGACGTCACCGCGCGTTGCATTATGGGTAAATTTCCCCGCTAAACTTGGAGGAAAAATTCACCGCTAAACTTAGCGGAAAAAGTTTGCCATTAAATTTAGCGGTAAGTTTTCCCCGCTAAATTTAGAGAAAAAAATTCCCGCTAAATTTAGCAGAAAAATTCCCCGCCAAATTTAGCGTAAAAATTCCCCGCCAAATTTAGCGTAAAAATTCCCCGCTAAATTTAGCGTAAAAATTTTCCCGCTAAATTTAGCGTAAAAATTTTCCCGCTAAATTTAGCGTAAAAATTCCCCGCTAAATCTAGCGTAATAATTCCCCCACTATATTTAGCGGGGAGCTTTTCTCGCTATACTTAGCGGGGAAAATTTACCGCTAACTTCAGCGAAAATATCCCGCTAAATGGGAGGGGAGCAGAAGAGGAGGAGGGGAGGGTACGGATGAGGAGGGGCATACCCTCCTCTCCGTACCTTCCCTCCTCCTCCTCAAGAGCTGCGCTCTAATTCGGCGTTATACAAGGGATTGTAAACGTCTTTCATTTTTTTCTTTTCTCCTCCCACAAACTAGCCAACCAAAACTTGTGTTCAGGTCAACCTCGCTGCCTTTCCTACATGAACCCATCTACCCATATACCAACCGCGTGGACCAATCCGGCGCCGGCAAAAAGTCACGTCACAACGCTTCTTTCCGTAAGTATTTCCCTTAGCATTCAGATTCCGCTCCCCGAATGAAAAGGAAAGACGACGCCCGCAGAAAAAAAAAAAAAAATAAATAAACGACACAAATGGCTTATGGAACCGCGCCTTTTCTCGCTACAACTCATTCTGCAATCAATTGCGTCCTGTCTTCGCTGTGTCCACCTAGGCCATAACGACTTCCCGGTTCACTAAGCCTGCCACCGCGCCGCTCTGTACGGCGGCATCAGCATGCTCCAAGCGTTTACTCTCGAATCCCAAATAAAAAGCAAATACAGTCGACGCCTTTGCAAATCATCAAACCGCGTCACAAAAAAAAAAAGAAAAAAAAAAGATAAAATTGGACGGCGGTGTACCGGGTATTCGTGTATACAGGTGCCCCCATCTAGTGGGCTACACCGAACGGTTACTCGGTGGGCAGCGCGTGACGTCGCAGGTGCGCGTCAACGGGGTCTCGGCTGCGCGCGTGCGTAACTTCGCGGACACCGATGACTCGTACGACGTGTTCGCGGAACGCGACAGAATGCGCGGACGCCAACGACAGACACACCGCTACACCGTTGGGGCAATCGTCGTGAGCAGGGCTCGTAAGCACGCCTTCTCCGCCTGCCCACTCAGCGAGACAGATAGAAAAAAAGCCGCCTCGCTCGGTGACACAGAAAGTCTAATCTTTAGCACAGAGGTGGAGACGGCGGGAAGCTCGGCTGCCTTAAAATGCATCGTCTGGTGTCTCTGCCGTACAATGTAGTCGATGCAGTACGAAGGTGGCATCTGCACTCCGCAGTGCGGGTGTCATGCTCGTCCAGACCGTAGCGGAGACACTGCAGCGCGAGCTTTCGCTTCACGCACTGCGAGCGATTCTTCTTTCACGACAGCCTGTCGACCGTCTGTCTTATCGCTCCCGTATACCTCAAAAGTCTGGCTCCTCACGTCGTTCGAGAGCGATGTTTCTAACACGAAAGATGCACTCCGCACACAGACACACACGCTTTGAGTGGCTTTCGTACCACAAAATTCCCAAGTTCACCGACTGCCGCAGGTTTTCTCACACAATCGACCGATCTCACCAAGCGTTCGGAGCGTGAGTGACGCCGGCATAAGTTTAGTTCAGAGGTAGGCGGCCGTGCGCTTCACTCGCGCACACCCGCGGCGGGGCAGTCGCACGCGCAGAAAGACTGAAGTTCCCTCGATAGATCGCGGAGGCGATGACGTAGCAAAACTGGCTGGTGAGATCGGTCTATTGCTGGCAAGATTCTCTCATAAGTTCAGTCAAAAAACCCCAAACAAAACAGGTTTTATAATATTTTAAGGCAGATGACTATGTTCGTTTCCAGACAATCCCAGTATCCCAAGTTATCCATACTTCTGGTCCTTCCTGCTGGGTGTAGGGTGCGGAAGAGTCGAGGACGTATACGATGCCCCAATCGTTCAACCGTGCCCCCGCAAAGTAATCGTCCAAGAGACACGGAAATAAAAGTTGTCCCGCCCGAAAATTCGATTCGCACAAGACCAACACTCAACTTCATCTCGCGGACGGAAAGAGAACCCTCCGTCGGCGATCTGGTCACGCTCGAGCGGTATATACACCGTCTGTTGACAAACACGCTTGTCCTTTGCCGGTCGGTGACTCCGCAACGCAAAAACATGAGCGAGCATGGAGGATTCCTTACGCCGGCGAACAGGGGTGATTATATGTTGGCCTGGTGACGCTCGGCTCTAACCACCCAGACACGTTTATAGCTAAGGGCCCGGCCACACGAGAGCGACAAAGTTGTTTGTTTGTCAACAAAGTCAAAATTAACTTTTTGTTGGGCTGATCAGCCTTGCAAAATAACTAATAACGCTCAAACGCAAAAAAAAAAAAAAAAAAAAAAAAAAAAAAAAAAAAAAGACAAGGTCAGTTTGTCAAGCCTTAGAGCAGATCTTTATCTGACTCGGTTACGGGACCGAAAGACGAACATTACCCAGCAAGAACAAACATCATGGTTTGCTCGCGGGTTTAGCTTTTATCGTTGCCAACGTCGTTCAACCGTACTTGAACCGTAGTTGCCAACTTTCGCAACCGTAGTTGAACAACCATTGCGCGCTCACTCCCTCGCTTCTCGATGACGCAAACCACCAGGCAGTTGCCGGCGTTCGATCGAGCGACGCGAGGAGAGTCTTGAACCGGTAAACTGCCCCCCTCCCCCCCTCTGCCTGAGTATACCACTGCGCGATCCACGCGCTCCGTCTTCTAGAGGTGCCGGTTTTGACAAACGTCGCCCCTGGGACATCCGACAGACCGCGACGCACACCGATGAACAAAAGTTAGCGATCCGTTTACAGACAGAGTATCGTTAACGACTTTTATTCCCCCCTCCTCATCAGGACACAGCACCTCGAAATGTTTCGAGTAGACACTTAATTTCGCGACAGGTAGACAGAGCCGACTGTCTAGAGGATTTACATGATCCGCGAGACTATAGCCTATAGCCTAATCGGTACCTAATACTCTACACAATCCAAAAAAAAAAAAAAAAAAAAAAAAAAAAAGAAAAAGGAACTGTGCCGGTCCCACCTTTCGCGGATATCGCGAAACCCCGATAAGTGAAGGAAGTGAAAAAAGCGAAGCACACACTCACCCTCTGGCGGAAGCTCTCCGAACGGCCGATGGAGCCGCCCTTCTTGGAGCTGAAACGAGTGAACATGTTTCTGTGTGGGCATCGCCCGGCGCCACCAGACCAGCGCTCCCCGCCGCCACCACCACCACAACCGACACCACCCCCACCACGACCGGCGGCGGCACCGGCCAACTGCACTGGGGACCCTCGCAGCGCACAACACAAACGCCGATCACCTCGCTTCCTCGACGGCGAGCGCCGCTCTCGAGGGGGGACACTCGCCGGCCACTTTGCCGCAATCCCGAGCCGCGAAAGGCGTGCCGGCGTTGAGGCCGGCTCCGCCGACTCAACGCGAAACAGCGCTGGCGGCGCCGGCAGCAGCGGACACGGCCCACAACGCCGGAAAGCCCACAGCCGGCCTCGGCGGCGTCGGCGTCGACAGCGCCGGAAGCGCGTAGGCGGCCATCTTCTTTTCCAGCCACTTCCGGCACCAACGACGCCGCCGTGCGCTAGTCTGGCACAGCGGTAGAACCTACGCGCTCGTCGGACCAATCAAATCGTCGCACCAGCACCACGTGACCGCGTTCTCACACGTACTGCACATACTATGCAGAGCGTGAAGTCACGTGCCGCACAACGGACGGTCAATTGGCTCAGCTCTGCGGGAAAAGTTCAGCAGCGCTATCACCTAAGGAAAACAGAAATCCGTGCAGCGCGCGGACGAGTGCTGCGAGATGCGCTTCCCTGCCGAACGCCGAAGCGTCGGGAGAAGCCCCGCTTCCCGATTTCGGGGACGGAGGCCCTCTCTCGCAGTTCACTGGCTAACAAAGGGGGCGCTGGAACGCATCTCTGCGCGGGTCAGCCGGCTTTTAACAAAGCGGCGATTGTGCTTCATACGTGGGTAGTTCTTCTCCCAAGCACTGCAAGAAGTGGCCTCTTCTTTACAACCTCGTCAGAGTCACGAAGTATTTTCGACAAACTGAGCATTTCCATTATTGCACCCGATGATGTTATCTCGTTGGCTCAATCCCTTCGCATACCCAAATGTACCCGAGGAGTCAAAGAGAAACTAAGCGTTCCTTTTGCGTCGCATAAAAAGCAAAGGAAGTCGCACAAGCTGAAACAACCGCTGAAATAGACGAAAACGGTGTTGATCGCGTGCTAAAAATAAACTCAAACCCAACTCAAGAAACTATTGCGCCATGGGAAGGTATTAAACGTATGCGCCCACTTCTTGTAGTCGCGAAACTTCAGAACTGTCACCACCGCCATGAAATACTTTTTTAGCAAATAGCCCAGTTTCTTCGAAAACGTAGACTCCGGCGCAAAATCAGTTCTAACAGGTGTCTCTGTGCCAAGGTTACGAGCCCCTCTTGTATACTCTTATGGGCCATTTAGTCACAAGATATAAAGATAAAACAGCGGTAAACACTTGTAACGGAGGGGAAGGGGGGGGGGGGGAGGGGGGGGGGGCGTGAAATATTTTTTTTGGGCAAAACAGTTTTGTTTTTGTGCAAAAAAAAAAAAAAAAGGTTTTTCGTAATAGAGTAACTTCTCGAAACTTTTCCTGGGGCGTATTTGCCAGCTATTTTTTTTTATTCTCGGGAGCTAAAGTATTTTTAGTTTACCGCTCTTACCCATTATCGCGTGATCCCTCTAACGACTCCAAAGTCGTTTAACAAAGTGCCATTTGTCGCAAAAAAAAAAAAAAAAAAAAAAAAAAAAAAAGAAAAGAAGCGCGGCGTTGAATAGGCATCACCATCGTCCCCGTTTCTCCAACGCGAATGAAGACGAAGCTGACGGGGCGTACACAGACAGAACGCTCCGTCCTGTTTTTCGCGTGCATGCCTTCGAATGGAAATGACATTCTTCTGCCGCACCCGACCGATTTTAGACTCGCGTTCTCACTGTCTGAACACGACTCTCGGCCCAACGTTGACGCAGCACTCGCGTATATAATCTGCGCACTGCGTTCGCTTTCTTTGGGTGATGCCGAAAAAGAATTGAGCACGACGGCTTTTCTTTTTACCTGGGAGGTGTCGCTAGCAGCACACAACAGAAAGCCTTCGTCGTAAGCCGTTTCCAAGAGTAGGCGCGCAAACTTCTCCCAAATATTAAAAAAAAAAAAAAAAAAAAAGAAAAGAAGCGCGGCGTTGAATAGGCATCACCATCGTCCCCGTTTCTCCAACGCGAATGAAGACGAAGCTGACGGGGCGTACACAGACAGAACGCTCCGTCCTGTTTTTCGCGTGCATGCCTTCGAATGGAAATGACATTCTTCTGCCGCACCCGACCGATTTTAGACTCGCGTTCTCACTGTCTGAACACGACTCTCGGCCCAACGTTGACGCAGCACTCGCGTATATAATCTGCGCACTGCGTTCGCTTTCTTTGGGTGATGCCGAAAAAGAATTGAGCACGACGGCTTTTCTTTTTACCTGGGAGGTGTCGCTAGCAGCACACAACAGAAAGCCTTCGTCGTAAGCCGTTTCCAAGAGTAGGCGCGCAAACTTCTCCCAAATATTAAAAAAAAAAAAAAAAAAAAAAAAAAAAACGCTTGGGAAGAATTAGATGTTACCGCAAAACGTCATTTCCGTTCGTGTCAAAAAAGGACGTGCACGCATAAAACAAGTCTGCAAAAAACAAACAAACAAACTGTTTTTTGTGTGTTTTTGCAAATTACCGGCGACGACAGCCAAAACGCTGCCCTCACTGCCGCGCACGGACTGCTCACAATCACGCCGCACTCGAAAAGAAACAAGACGTTTGGTTCCGAAGCAAGAAGAATCCTCGTGGACAGCTAATTGTGTTCCAAAGCAAAATAAAATAAAATTGCAATTTTTTTTTTTTTTTAAGGACAGTTTTGAATTTTGGTTTATCGGTTTTCGTTGATTTTTGACAAAATCGGCTCGGAGGTTAACTTTCGGGGTTTATCAGTACTGACCGAAAACACGAAACCCTAGCTATGAAAAAGCACTGCATGGAATTCCGTTGCGAAATCTCGCAAATTAACGGCTGTTGCAGTAAAATAATAATAAAAAAAACAGTGAATTTTCACAAGGCGCCTCGAATAACAACCGAAGACCGAATACTGTTTGTTTTTTCTTCTTTTTTTTCGGGCGAAGCTTCTTTGGCGCGCGACTCAGTAAACGCAGCATCGATCGGGCGGGCGCCGATAGCTATTCTCGTGTTGACAAAGACTCGCGTCGCCCGCAGGTGATGCGGACACACAAACCCACACTGCCGTCAAGCGCCCACAATTAGCCCGGCACCGAACAGCTGGGCTGCTCGTTTGCGCAGACCCCAGGTCCCCAAAGACGCTTTCCCGCGGTCCGAGGACGCTTAAGGGCGCGTGCAGCTGTCAGAACACATGATGCGTGCACACGCGGAAACCGGGTTACCCCGAAACAGAGAACGCCACGGAGAATTAATCGACGACGCTGTTCCGTATATACGCCGAGCATTACCGTCTTCCGATCGGGAAACCACGCTGTTTTGTCTCTCGTTAAAGCTAAGCCACTGCGTCGCTTACTTTCTTAAAACGAGCACGAAATCAATGAACCTTTTTCAAGAAGAGTTCCGAGCACGCGCAGCGGCCCTCTTACGCAGCGGCGAAAGCGGGAACTACGATTGTTGTCACGAAGGAGATAGTTGCGCTACCCTTACTCCGCGACTCCCCCCCTTCTGGACGCTCACGGCCTCCGAGATCCCGAAGCTCGCTTCGGGATTTCGGAGGCCATGGTGCGTGTTTTCCCAATATCGGTGAAGAGGTTCCCCAGAGAGCTGCTTTCCCCGAACAATTTCTCGCAGACCACTGCAAAAGACGGCATATCTTTTTTTTTTTTTCTCTTTCGGTTGTACGCAGCGAGAGAGAGCAATTTAGAACTCTGTCCGTGTTTTCTCCAAACCCGTCGCGACTTTTCCCTTTCTTTTCAACTGTGAACACGTGGTTTTGTTTATTGTCATTTTTATTTTTCCGTCCTTTCCGCGCGGGTTTGGTCGCAGAAAAGGACGATTGGGATGATTTTTTAAACAAGCTGCCTAGGCGTGCTGATTGGTCCGACTAATAATAGCAGCAAACAAAAAATAAAAACAAAGATGCTTACAACATTCAAGGTTTGAGATCTGTGTATAAACCAGGTTGAAAGTTGGAATAACGAAGAAACCAGGTTAGAACAAGGAAAAAATTTATAAATAATCCAAACAATTTTTTTTTTAGATCTCATTGTCTTTTTGCATAACAAGTGACATCACAAATTGCCAACTACATAATGGGATGCGATGGATTGTGCTACATGTGCCAAAAACTAGACGGTTACTAAAAAACTACCTACATGTTGAATCACTAACTACGAATATAACGAAGTTTGTATAAAAAAAAAGGCAAAATCATCGTATCTTACCGCTATAATTTTTGCCTTAAACGTGCTTATAGTACAAGCAAACAGCAATACGACCTGCATAATTTACGCAATAAATAATAACAAAATATGAAAAGAAGGATGACACGAGGACTGCACTTCTGTAGTACCAAGCCTTGTGCTCAGAATCGAAAAGCAACGTCAAACGCGCGGAGAAAAAAAATAAAAGAAAAAGTATAGCATGGTTGTTTATATATGTATGCATGTATATATATATTTTTTGTACGAAGCTGATTTTTTTTTTTTTTTTTGCGCTGCAAGAGATGACTATGAGACAAAACAATTCTAGGATTGTAATATAAAAGTTTGTACGGCTATTTCTGGCCAACATTGGCATGACTATGACAGACAGGGTATGCGTATCGAAAGGAACTGCCTGAAGCCACTGCATCGCCAAGTACTTCGCGTTTAATCTAAAAATTTAAGGCTTGGAATCTGTCAATATACCAGGTTGGAACGAGGCTGCAATTTATAAATAAACCAGTTATTTTTCTTCAGATCCCATGGTCTGTTTCCATATTAATTTACATCACAGGGTACATAATGGGAGTCGGTGGTTTGTGCTACATGTGCCTAAAACTAGACGTTTACAAGATAACGCCCCACCTTTTGAATCAGTACTTACAACTATCACAAAGTTTATATATAT